ATTAAAATTGTACTAAAAAAGAAATGACTAGAATGAGAGCAAGGTTCACAACTGAGAAAAGCAAATATTGATCTATCCCAAGGATCATATTGATTTTTTTATAGTACATGTACAAAGGTGCACTTAATATTGAAAATTATCTGAATTAATACAGTTGCCATTTTAACATAGTTGACTAAAAGCCTACCACACACAAAAAAACAGGGTAGAATGACCTGTATGCTATCCATTTTTACACCGTTGCTATCATCATCCACAACCACATTATTGCCCCTCAATGTGTATGTTGGGAGAAAAAAGTGACTATGTAGTTGATAAGCAGGGAAGTTATTAAATAAAATGCTTGTTTGTTTTCAAAAATGAAAGTTTTTCTGGTAAAATAATGAGCACAGAATTTAAAGAAAAGAATGCATATCGAACTTGATGAAAAGAATCACACAGAACTGGGTGAGCCTCTGATCTTGCACATTTTAGAATTCTATGCCTGTTTTTAGTCAATCAATCAGAATAGAGCTGGAAGGGATCTTGGAGGACTTCTAGTCCAGCCCCCTGCTGAAGCAGGAGACCCTATACCATTCCAAACAAGTGACTGTCCAGTCTCTTAAAAACCTCCAGTGATGAAGCATCCACAACTTCTGAAGACAAGCTGTTCCACCCGTTAATTGTCCTCACTGTTAGAAAGTTTCTCTTTAATTCCATGTTACTTGCTTCTTTGATTAGTTTCCATCCATTCTTTCTTGCCCTGCCCTCAAGTGCTTCAGAAAATAAATTGACCCCCTCTTTGTAGCAGCCTCTCAAATACTGGAATACTGCCATCATGTCCCCCCAGTCCTTATTTTCTCCAGACTAGCCAAATCCAAATTCTGCAACAGTTCTTTATATGTTTTAGTCTCCAAGCCTTTAATCAAATTAGCTACTCTTCTTTGAATTTTTTCCTTTAATTGAAATATTTAAAGGCAAAATATAAAAACTTGCAAAAAATTTTATTTATTTGGAATATCCCCATATAAATTAGTTAAATTTACCCAGCGGGCCTGGGGAACCCAGAGAGGGATGGAACCCATCAAATGTGATTTGCTGTCATCGGGGTGTGGGGTAGGAGTTGGTTTTTGTTTTTGTTTTATTTTGTTTTTTGTTTTCCAAATTTTGTTCTATTGTACTTTACTAATTTATTTGATTCTTTTTGTTAGTTCTTATTGTTTTTATTTTTATTTTTTGTTTTAAATATGATTTTGCATTGTGTAAGCCACCTTGAGTCGCCATGGGCGAATAGGCGGCAATATAAATCAAATAAATAAATAAATATCGCATATAAATATACTTAATATTATTCTGCATCTTTGGAGGGGAGGAGAACAAAGTTTGCTAAAATTTTATAAGAATTTTTTCTCTTCTTGCTTAGTTCTGCAATTAAAAAATACCAATGCATTTCATTAAAGAATTCACCATTTACATCAGAGATATGTTGAAATTTAAGATTGCAGATACTTTAAAAACAAACTAACAAGGGACAGATCAAATTACATAGAATTATGATTTCATCACACACAATTTATAGGAAAGATTATTTGTTCATAAGCAATAGAAAAAATTAAATTCCAACAATTTCTTTAGAAATTGTTAAATCAAACATCTTCCTGATGTGTATTTTTATAATAGTTAATTAAAAATCGATCACTTGTTTGTGAAATTGCTCTTCACATTCCCTGACATATAGTTGTTTGTCTCATTCTCTCTGTGTACAGATGCAGCAACTAGTTGCTGTAGATCATAATGTACATATTTGACTTACATGCTGTAATTGTTTATTTTTTAACTGAGTAAATTGTAACAGATGGAGAAACCATGCCTGCTTGTCCAGCCTGATTTATTTCAAATCATTCTACCCTACTCTTTAGGTGAAAAGGCTTCTAGAACAGCTTACAAAATTCAGTATAATTCCTATCATCAGTATAATAAATTGATGCATTGGGAGCATTGACATTAGTAATGCAGGGAAGAGGAAAGTCCTGTAGCCCATGTCAATCTTTGTTCATATAATGTTGGCTATATCCCAGCCCACATAGAAATGCATCTGTGCATGTTCCCCTGGTATGTTTCTTATTGGTGAATATTTTGAAAGGTAAATTATGCTGCTAAATACGAAGAGTTCTAAAAACTACTTGAGGAGAAAGTAGTCTTTTTCAAACCCTTAGGACTGTACATTTTTATTTGCATTTCCATCACTTTAATTACTGTTTAAAGTGTTCCCGGGATGATTACAGTCAACTATGTTCAAGACATTACATCCCATTCTTTATATAGAGGAGTACTAATTAATGTTACTAGCTTTATTATTCTGCAGTAGTTGAAATTAAGGTGCAGCTGGCCAGCGACATCTTATCTTGGGATATGAGTTGCAGCTGTCATTATCTGAAAGCGATTTGATGAGTCTACAGAATAAATTATGGTGTAAATGTTTATTTGTATGTTTCAGATATCATGGACTCAGTTAACTTCTGAGTTAACTGGGGAGAGGGGGCTAAAAGTTCTAAAAATTAAGAACCTCTGTAAGGGATTCTGAAACCAGTAGATTATCTCCCAAATTATGCCATTTCAATTTTGGCTTGTAAAGTGGGTAAAAGAGAAGTGCAGTATAATGTATGAATGGACATGATTATGTTGTTATTAATATACTTCTCCTTTATGACCCTGTATATTTATATAAATTAAGTATTTATATTTTTAAAATTTCCAGGTTAACTTATTTATGAAAACTACTTGCCTTATGGGTTGAGAAATTTGCTATCTAGCATGCCGGTGAAATCAAAATATCTATTAATATAGAAGATACTTGGTGAAGCCTTCAAAAAAAGGAAACTTGCTATTGATGCTGAAAACATTTTCTTTTCAGCTATTACAGATTGTAATATTAAACTGATTAAACTAGTCTTCTCTTGAGATTTTCTGCATGTTATTGACTTAAAAAGAATAACTACACATAGCATGCAGGGTTTTTTTAAAAATCAAGTTTTTTTTTCATCTTCAACTAGACAGACAGACATATCTGATAATTAGTAATGGTTTTGGGTTTTTTGCTGGCTATGAAAGAATATATTTTAAGGTATTTTATAAATAGCAGTTTTGTAGAAAAGAAATTACTTGTTACATTTTAAATTTATTTGCCTAAATTAATACTGACATTTTTAGTAAGTTCTATAGGATTTTCATAGATTGTATTTGAATAATGAGATTTGAAGAATTTGCTTAAGAGATCTGATTAAGACTAATATAATTCTATTGCTTCCTTTGTAAATTATGCTGGATTTTTACTGATTGAAAAAAATTGAAAGGATTTTAAGTGGTATTATAAATTTATAATAGCTATATTGTTATTTCTGGTACACCTTAGTGAATTTTTGCAAATTAGAATGGAGAACATTTTAAAGATTTGTTTGATATCAGGGATCAAGAATAGTTTTTTATATTTTAAGAGGTGGTGCTAAGTTTAGACTTACTTGATAGGAAAGGAAAGTTCCCCTTTCTTCTCTTTTTTGTTGCTCTTTATTTTTTATAGTTTACATTAGTTTTACTTGCATTTTTTAATTTCCAATAAAATTATTAGTAAAAAATAAATTAACAATTACTAGCAACATATACAAGAACTAGATTAGATAGCATATATAAACAGATAGTAAATAAAAGGAGATAGGTGATTTGGTGGCAGATAAAATCTTCTCTCAAATCATTTTTGCCAAACAAAGATATTACAAATATGATAACAAATATCTAGACTACTGGCAAATAAATAAAAAATCTAAATGTATTAGTGCAATTAAAAATAGTGTATCAGTAGTGACTAAAAATATAAGTAAAGCATTCAATTTTTTTCAATAATTATATTTCCGAGTAATCCAGCACTAATAAAAATCAATGTTTAAATAGATTAATATTCCCAGAATTAGCTTCAGAGGCTGGCTATACAATTTATGGAATCTCCTTTCTCTATTTCAGAAACTTCTGAAACTTGATAATTATTTCAAGAGTTCATCAAAGCTAAAGAGGTTGAGAAACTTTGCCTTTATAGCTTAAGGCTGTTTATATAGTAAATCCTCCTTCAATCCTGTGAAATTAGTTGATCTGAAAGATAATGGCTAGAACTTCTGTATGTGCGTATGGATCTTCCTTGTCCTAGTCCAATCCATTAAAATCAAGGTTGTCAATGATAGGTCAGGATTGAAATGATATAGATACCTTATGAGGAGGCAAGCTCCACTTCTTGTATATGTGTGCAACATTCCAATGCATGTTGGAAAAGGACACAGTTTTTGTTGCAAAACTCTTTTATGAATTCTACCCTACACCTTTATTCTAAGTTATAACTATGTCAATAATTGCCAAGACAGTCAAATCATATAAGTGGTGGAAATACCATGAGATAGAAAGAACATGGTAATCGACACGAAAAATAACTCAAAAGTACCAGAAAGAAAGAAATAGATAGTCCTATTAAGAAAATATTAGAAATCATGTTAGAAATGAAGCCATAATTCTTCTTTCTAGGGATAACTCTACAGCATTTTAACAAACAAAATCACAATTATTTACTAAAACATATGGTCACAGCTGCGAGAATGAATTTAGCATAATATTAGAAAAGAGGAACTTTATCAAAGTTTAGTTTATTTAGTTTCCAGATTGGAAACTAAAACTTGGAGAATAATGGGAAAATTAAGACCATATATTTACAACAGAAGTTTAAACAAATGTAACCAGTACATATTATGAAGCAAGGCAAATATAAGTATTTTACAGTATAATTTTTAAGGAGGAAAAGAACTGTGTAAAGTTCTTTGTTTATAAATGAGCTAATAAGTATTGTATATCAATCAAGGTACAACAAACAGAAAGTTCAAGAGAAAATATTTCTTACTTTTGATATATTTCTGCATGTATTTATAAAATAAATGTTTGTCTGATTTATGTTTCATTTCTGGTTCTGGTTGTCTCATGTTTTACAGCCCTGATAGCCATTGGAAGATACAGTATGACAATAGAGACAGTTGATGTGGGGTGGTGCAAAGAAATCACAGATCAGGGAGCCACCCAGATTGCTCAGACTAGTAAATCACTCCGATACTTGGGACTGATGAGATGTGATAAGGTAAGAAACATCGTATAAAAAACCTATATCCCCATGTGTTTTACAAGCCACATTCTTAAATCTATTCAAGCAAGACAGTAAAAGCAAGTTCTGTATATAATATTTTGGTCCTGTCTGATTGTTTAATATTGAAGTTATATAATTTCACTTTCTGAATTTCCTAATTTCTGATTGATTATTATATATAATTCATTAACATAATAATCTGCCTAGATTTAAAATAAAAATCTAAAAATATCCCATTCCTAAAATCTAAAAATATCCCAAGACCAAAACACATGACTTTGTAAAATTTTGCCTCACATTTTTGTTCATAAGTCATCATTTTAAAAACAAGCATAATATATTTACTTAAGATGACATAATTAAAATTTAACCATTATATATTATTAAAATTTCCATACATTATGGACTGCTTCTTGCTTATTCAAAAACACATTACAATATTGGACCTGCAAAGATCATAAATGCAAAGATTGGTTGCAAAATTATTTTTTCATCACTGTACTGCAAATGGTCACCATACAAGTCAGTTGCTAAACGTAGACTGCCATTAACTGAGAGTTTTATTTGAGGAATAATGCTAAAATATCTGCTTAATTCCTTGACTTTAAGTTAGGTCTTCAATTATCTGATCAATTTTACATATTTTTGTGGGTATAATTAAACTTGATTGTACATTAAAAGAAGCTTTTATTTTTTTAAAAAGTCCATGTCCATTTCAGTGACCTTGGTGTTCTAAACAGATTTTAGTATGCCATCACTTAAACCATGTATAATCTATATACACTATTGTCTGTATTCCTTTAATTGCTTGCTTATGTTTTCCCGACTTGTTACAAAAAGACCTGCATGCTGTGAAGGGAGACAACTTAGCTGACAAGAATAAGAATCTGTGAGAGTGCTACAGAGCAAGTAGGGAAAACTGTTCTTGATTAATGGAGAAATATATATTGGCTATCTTGATGAGAATGCTGTAAAGTGTGGCATAAGAGTCACCATTGGGGGTCATTTAACTTGCTTGTTAAACCTCTCTCTTCAAGGGAAAGCTGAATAATAGCCATAAAAAGAACAAAATTCAGAAGCTGCATTCTGAATTTAAAATGTTTTAGATGCAATGTTGGCAGCTTAAGAGCTTCATTTCTCTTTCATAGTCAGAAAATAGAGAACTTTTCTTCCTTAACTTTTCATATTTCATGCAGAATTCATTTATTTTCCAACTAATGCTTTTAGAACATCATTATAGTAATATTTGGCAAGTAGGAAAGGTCATTGTGACAACAAAATGTTCAGCCATGCACTTGGGTTCAATTTTTCACCTCTTAACCTTTTCCAAAATATTGAATAATGTTGCTGTGCCAGATAGACACTTCCCTTTATATGTGATGTTAACAGGTATGGAAGAAAAACTAATCAAGACAATGACTATAAGCAATATGTAGCAAAAGATTCCAATATTCCCCCTAAAACATTATTTAATGACATAATCTCCTTGGAGTCTCTTTCATGTGTACTTCATATAAATTTAGAATTAATAAGTGCTAACTAATCCAGAGACTCTGCAGAGCTGGCTAAAGCCAGTCGCTGCTTAATTCCATTTGATTATATAACTGGTTCTAGGCCACAGATTTCACTAGTGGCTATTGCTATTGATCCACCCTATGAAAATAATTAGATTAATTGCTTTTTCATCAAGTTCCATTAGTGTAGTTCTTTTGATTTTCATGCAGTTGAAGCAACAACTTTAAGGAACAAAATGGCTTGATAATAATATTAAGTAAAATATTGTTTTATTGTCCTGTCAAGTCATTCTTCCACTAAAGTAGAATAGAAATGTTAATTAAGAAAGGTGGATCTAAGAATGGTATGCTTTTAGCTGTCTGAATGAATAAGGTTTCTAGGATGAAACTATTGCATGACTCCTAGCCTAGTTGAGAGTAGTAGTCTTCTAGAAGAAAATCATTAAATAGAAATGCTTTTTTAAGAAGAAGAAAAGGTTGGTTCCATTAATGAAATAAGTGGAACTTCCCATGTACCCTCAAAATCCATTCTGGGACAGATTTTGAGATAGTGGAGAAAGAGAAGAAAATAACATTTTGTTTCTGAAAAATTCCATTTGAATATAGGATTTGGAGGTTGTTGAATGAAGGGCTCCCACTACTCGTGATGTCTTCAATCTTGCTAGATGTCGAATTTTCTAAGATATCACTGATCTTATCCTAAAAATGTGAGATTACCATGAAGTCTGTTTCTGTGAATTTTTCATGCATAATATTTATCATTTAATCAAAATTAATAGTTACATATATTTATTCAAGACTAAAACATTTATAGATTTTTAATTATTTAAAATGTTGTTCAAAAGAAAGTACAAAACTATGAGCAGCAAGATATAAATGGCAATATAACCAACATATAAGGAACCATACTTATATATGAACTATACTTACATCTTCATTTCAAAATAGGAAACAGTTTAGAATTTTCAAAAGAACAAGACACGAATATTGTTACATTTATTGTCTTCCATTAATTTATACACATTCACTGCCTAACATAGCTATGTTTAAAATATATATTTATTTTAAATCTTAAAAATAGAAAAGTGGAATTGTCCCAAACAAGCCACCAGTTTTTAGCTTCATTAAATAAATAATTTTAGTAGCTTCTATGAACCCCAAATGTAGAAAATACTTTTTTAAAGAAAACATTAATTGAAGAATGTCTGCAATTATGTCCCAATGTAATCCAATTAAGCTTGGTTTAGACTGTTCTTTCCCAGCTGCATTAAAATATACATACAATCTGCATAGGGGAGAAGGCTTAAATTTTTCTGTAAAATGAACCCATTTGGCTGAACATGTTTATTATACACTGACATATTCTGTAATATTACTAAAAGGCATAAAGAATTATTAATAAATAGTAAACATTAAATAATAGCTATGAATTAATTAAGAATTGTAGTGTAGATAACAAAATGTTTCTTCCTATTATGTCAAATAAAAATGATTTTCACAATATTCTTGGTTTAAGAATTGCAATGATAACTTTTAATTTATAAGAAAAGACATTTATTTATGTATGCAGCATTTATCCCCCCATTCTTGTGAATAGCTATAATTTGCAGAAATCAAGAAGCTTCATAATTGATTCCGTGAATTTTTGAAATTTTATATGTAATTGGATATCTGATATTCAAAACTCACAGAATCCTATTAGAAGGCAATTTACTTGAATGCTTTCATCCACTTTCATCCCCTTCATCATGCTGCTTTATTTTAAATTTAGATCTACAACATTAGCTTTTTGAAAGATAGAATAAAATGAGAAACCGTCTAAAGGTGGTTGCTAAATCAACTAATTAATCCCCATATTATTAATAAAAATAATAAAGAGAAAGAACTTTTCAATACATATTTAGCTGAGTTGAATGCAACATTAAAAGTTTTGTACAACTGTTTTATCAAGTATGATGTAGGAGTGCAAATAATTACTATTACATTTATATATATAATTTTATTCTACTGGGGCAGTTAGTTACTTGTACAGGTTGTATTAGTAATGTTTTATTAGTAATTTTTCCACAATTTATTAGTTTAATACTAGTACGGTATTTCCAGTTCAACATTTCACCCTTACTCAATTTGTAATATGGGAGCTATACTAGATACTCCCTTCAAACAACAGGGTACCATATGCATCAGGTGATTGAGGTAGCCACCTGGGAACGAGTTAAGCTTTAAGAGAAACAACCCTTGTTTATTATTTTGCATACAGACTTTGTGGTATTTATGGCAGAACATGGAAATTATGATCTACTTCACAAGAATAATATATAAGAAATGGGTCTGAGTTAAATTCACTTTGACAAAAGTAATGCATCAGTATTCAGGTAGATGCTAGCCTTGCAAGGTGCCATCACTTTGTCCACTTTTGTTGTTTTTAATCCATAATTCAGACTGAAGCACATTGTCTGAGATGCAGATGTTTTTCTGTGACTGTATTATTCAGCTACCCCTAAGCCATCAGCACTGAGGTAATCACTGAAACTCTGTGGAACATCTCAGCTGAATAGATCAAGTGCCTAGCACTTCACAGAGAATGATTTCACAAACCTTTTATTATGTTGTAGCTACAGGCAGAATTATAATTAGGCCACCTGAGAATGTTATTCATTCAACTATTAAGTTAAAAAATATACTTAAAAATAATTGAGAAAGTAATACACAGGATATATACACAGAAACTTGTTAAAACCATTGAAAAGAAAGATGGACATGTGAAAGGTTTCTAAACAGTAGATATAGTAAATTTGATATCTTAAGCATATAAATAGTTCACTGGGATTATTCGTTTATTTGTAAAATTTGTATAGCTGACCATCTCCATACCAGACTCCGGGAGAAGCCAATCCAAAAAATAAAAGTAGCAAAAATAATATAACGCCATATAAAATCATAAAACAAAATTGATATAGCATAATATTAGATATTAAAATCAGTTTCTGGAATAAGAATATAGTTTGGTTTTGTCTGTGAATTGTAGAATTTCCATAATTACCACCAGTGCTTTTATCTGATATACATGGGCAATTTTGGGTCGAGTTCATAAAATAGGTTATTTTGGTATTTATGTTATCTATTGCTGTCTGTTGCCACAAGTCCCAAAAATTCAGGTTTCTGTATTAGTTCAAAAAAAAAAAAAAAAGATGATATTCATTATTATCTATCAGGTTGGATAGAGCCAAATCTTAAAGCTTGCAGTTATGAATCATACACATGATATGCTAATTGATACATTTGTTCTCTCATACTGGATATACAATAGGAGATTCTAAATATGATAACCAGAATTTCCAATATTAAATTATCACAATAAAGTTTTATTTAGTGTGTTACAGCTGCTTGTTGCAACTAGTATTTGGTTTGGTCTTTCATAGGAGATTCTAGACAAATATGATAACCAGAATTTCCAATATTAAATTATCCCAATAAAGTTTTATTTAGTGTGTTACAGCTACTTGTTGCAACTTGTATATGGTTTGGTTTTGTCTTTCGCCATGAAAGAACATCCAAGTAAGACAACCCACATTCATCCTCTGCACTAACTACTACAATTGCTTCATAATGGTGGTGGAAGTGGGGATGGAAATACATAAGCATTACATTATTCTAAGAAGGAGTGGGGCAGTCAGTTTTATGTAAAGCACAGAAAATGTTAAAGACATGAGTTTTAAAAAGGAAATACAACTAAATCTTGTTCACCAAAACTATTTACTATACTTATACCTTTCTATCATTACCAACTAGACTTGATTTCATCACTTATATGCATCATTTATATATATTGTCTTTTATTGTTTACAAATTTCATTGATTTTTTGAGGATTTCACCATTTAACTGTTATTTTTTTCAGTCTCCTTCCCCTTTCCTTAATATATTTTCCCTCATTTTCTAATTTACTCATCCTATATTACCAGATCATCTTAATATACTTCTTTTGTACTTGTCATTCAGTTTTACATTCAGTCCACATTCATTCAATACCCATTCATATTTTTTTCTATTTTATTAGACACATACTTTCTAAGTAACCTATTCCCACTGCATTCAGCTTTTATTTATCTCCTGACATACAAAGTACACAGAACAATGTGGTTATATATATACCCATTTTTGCTTCTTTGGAGAAACATTCCTTGCAACAGACCAATTATCATTCTGCAAACATTTTTATTTTCATCACATTTTTATGTTCATTCTCTGCTTCTTTTAATACTTCGTTGTTCTGACCATGTTCTTTGCAATTTGAGGAGAGTTTTTTCTTTAGAACTCAAAACAAATGAGTTCCATTTGAGTCACATTCCAGTTCTGCTGAACTTTTATATGATTGTTTTGAAAAAAGAAAGCCTGTGTTCAAATCATAAGGGATCCTGGATAATTTTATTCAGCAAGTTGGGCAAGGTTAATATATATCACTTTTCTAATCCCTTCAATAATTCCCAGCATGGCATATCCTATCACCAGCTTATTTTTCTGGCTGCTCAGGACCTTCCTTTTCTCCCTTGCCCTCACCAATTCAAATTATTGATGTGCCTCTTCCCTACTAAAGTGACAACAATAAACACAGCATACCACATCCCACTGGCCTATCCCCTTCCAGTGCATGCCCTCCCTCTCTTCAGCTCTTGATATATTTGGATTTTTCTGTCAGTTACATGCCACTCCCAAAACTCTTTTGCTCAGAACTTTAATTTCATCTCGTATAAAGAACAAAACATCCAAAACAAGTGTTTGGGTTCAGACATTATTCATGTGAAATGCGTTGTTTGGTGTACATAATAGTTCATGTATATAACATTTTGAAAATCCTTATTTGCAGATATATTTTTTTCTATTTTTTTCTCATCCATATTTTTACAACAGGATGCTATCTTTTAAGTTCTGGAGCATTTTGGCCAGTATTCCACACATTCAACCTAAGCCCAATTTATCTGAAATATGCTTACACTATTCTATGCAAGTTAAGATATCTAATTTAGAGACTACTTTGCAAATTAGGAGATCATTGTATATATCCTATCAACCAGTAGGTACACACAATATTATGATACTTACTCAGGATGATCATATAGTGTGTAGCCCTATCTAATTAATATCTCTTCAGCCTTTTGCAACTATTTTGTATGATATAGCCCTCACACATATATATCTAAGCAATGAATATAGTTGTTAAAATACTGCTCAGTGTACAAAAGTATCGTGTTTTCATAGAAGTCTGGGAAGTGCAGTCTCAACATCTGGAAGATGCCAACATTGGCAAAGGCTAATATAGGCCTTATGTGATCATCCACATATTGGAGTAACATTTCTGGTCAGTTTTAAAATGTGATTTACTGATATGTCTGAGCTGCCATAGAGCTTGTACCAGTACAGATTTCATTCTGATTGATTAAAAGGTGCTTCCTGTTTTTTAGACACATTCAGTGTTGCTATAATGTAGTTGTTTACAAAAGTGTTTAGAGCATGCAATGTCTCTGTGTACTTGAAATAGAAGTTAAACCAATTTTCTATCCAAGTTGCTCTTCAGTTGACAAATCTCCCAATGAAGATTGAATGTTTCTATTATCAAAGCAGAAGAACTGTAGATTAAACCCGTCATTTATCCCTGTCATAAAATGCAATCACTGTTCATTCTCTGCACTGCCTAGCACAATTGCTTCAGTTTGGTGTTTGCTCAGGGCAGTGCGACTGGGAGGGGGAGACGGGACGAGGGAGGAAATAACAATAGAAAAGAGAGATTTGAAGAGCATCTGTTATTGTTCTTTAACATGTCCTCGCCCAAGGATTTTAAGACAATTAAATATATATTTGTGGTAAGAATGGAAAATGCCTTGGATATGTAAATTTATTTTAGTTCAACACTGGACTCAATAAAGTACAAAGTGAACAATTGTAACAGAGGAGCACTGTTAACAGTATTGAAATTAAATATTGATGTATTTTAAAATTCAATAAAAAATTCTAAGGAAAGCTACCTAGAAGTCATGTTCTTAGGTTAATCTTGCTTTTTAATCTAAAGAATGATGGAAGCTGTCTGGCTCTGTGATATGAACTATAATCAGCTTAAAAATAATTGACAAATTAATCCTTTCACAGCACCGCAGTTGTAGAGATGTTAAGTTTAATTAGGCCTTATTGATTGCTTTGTATGATCGAGGACTAAAGGTAATATCTCTACTTAAGGTCTAGCACAAATATTTCTGACCTTCTAAGCTGTACGTTTTAATTATTGATTGTGACGATTTCGGTTATTACACAGGGAAGACTTTAATTCTTTCGCAATGAGAAATGTGGGAGGGGGGCAAAATTGCCCTCCCTTCTCATGAAAAGATGGGTTTTTCATTGACAGCTAAAAATATATGATTCAGGTTCATATATTCAGATTCATAGTTACCTTTTGCTTGAATTGTTGTAACAATACAGCCTGTCTAGACAGTATTACAATCACTCTGAATGATAAGATTCAGAGTTTAGAGACATTTTTCCACCCAGTATTGCTGCTGGAAGCCCAAGTGGCTGCTATATTAACCATTTTTGTGTTGTTGTGCCCTTTTCTGGAGCTGTTTGTTATGATTACAGTGGATCTAAATGTGATTGCAATGGGTTTACCTGAAGATGCAATTAAAGAGTGCTCAGAAACCCCAACATATCTAAGATGTTGTGGGCAAATTGTCTTTTAATATGATTATACTATATTAACCTTGTTCCAAATCCATTGATTTCGGGTGGGAGTTTAATTCAAGATTCTGGTTCTTATGGTCCAATATGTGTACCTTTATTCTTATGAACCTATTAGACTCATGTTCTTCTAAGGTGCTGGGCCCATGTTCACTGGAGCAGCCCACTCCCAGCCTCTCACCATACCTACCTATGCCCATACTTATTCATACTTTGGAGCTTCTTTGCTTGGGATGTTAGAGTTGTTTTACTTTTGTTTAATTTTAGGCAAGTTATTAATGCTTTGAAGGATATTGCTCCAAAACATTTTCTGATAATTCTAAATACAAACAATTCTGTATTTGAAAGATAGTCATTCTCTTGTTCTTGCTTAGAGTGAGATTAAAAGACAGCATGTGGTATTAGTGATAAATAATATATAAAATTATTTCTTTTACATGTAGGTGAGTGAAGTGACTGTGGAACAACTGGTACAGCAACACCCACATATCACCTTCAGTACAGTGCTACAAGATTGCAAGCGGACCTTGGAACGGGCATACCAGATGGGTTGGATACCCAGTATGTCCAGTGCCTCTTAACTCATGCTATGGCATTAAAAAAAGAGATTTAAACTGAACAATTGAAAATGGTTAAGGATTTTTAATTAATAGTTCTTGCTTTTTGTTAAATATATGTTTTGTGTATGTATATGCAAGAGAGAGAGCATGGGTGTATGGCAGATGTTTATTCAGTCTTTTAATGGAAATATCAGAAGAAAAATATGGTCAGATATATTTAATTTTTCTGAAATGTTTATTTGTCAATTTAAAATCTGCAAATCAGTAGATTTTGCAGAGAGCTTGCCCTTTTTTGTAAATTGAATGTTTACATAAACTAGAATACTGCTTGGATGTTTTTTCAAGGTATATGTTCATGATAGAAACAATTCTTTAGAGATGCATTATAAGTTTTTTTTTATTTGTTGTTTAAGAGCTTTAGGTTTTAACTGCGCAAGTGAGTTTCTTCTAGCTCTAAGATTAGTTTCAACACTATAATATGTTGTTATGCCTTTTTGTTTCATGCTATTTATTATTAATAGTCCATAGTTCTTTTTAAATTGTAAGTTGCAACTCCTTTCCCAAATTCCTCTTAAATTAGAAGGAATAGATAATCTTAAATCAGATCAGATATGGCTAACTTCTTGTGCATTTTTTAAATGCACATTTATAAAAATCTACAAAGGTACAAAAATATAACAATTTTTATGATAAATTTTATTTTGAGTGGAATCTTTAATAAATGCTGGACATAACATAATGGCAATTTAAGTAGACTGGTCTCTAAAATAATATTTTTCATTGTTTGTGAATGTATGTATTTAAGTGGATATTCCTTGATTACATTTCTACATATTTTCACTTTCCAGTTTTGTACATCTTCTTTTTAATTTTCAGCACTTTTTATTATTTAGATCGGTGAAAAGTAGAGTATCTAAGGATTCAGGATTCCTCAGTGTGTAAAGAAACCTCAGACTTGCATTTCCTGTATGCTTCTACAGCATCTCAGGGGAGAAGGAAAGAAACATCTGCCTCCACTTAAACTTCCTGTTATATCTAAATCTGCAGGAATTGTAGTTAATTGAAAGTACGGTTAAGTCAAACAAGTCAGAATCAAACTATAGTATCTGTTTCTGGCCTATTTCTTCATATATATAATTTAAACAAAGATGTTTGGAGATGTATTTCTCCAAAAATGTTCATAATTTATTTCAAACTAGAAATGAATTGTTTTGGTCTCTTTCTATGAAGCCCAACTGCTGACTCATTCTATGATGCCCAACTGTGATTCAGATCTAATGTTCATAATGCATTTTTTTAAAGCATTCTCTCATCCATGCCAATATGGTAACTTTTTCAAAATACATGGAAACTCCTGTAGGAAGTATGCAAGTCTATTCATCGGCCTTGGATTTGAGTAAAAATGTTTGCATGTGTTAACTACTGTACTTATAAAAACAAATTAGGCCAAGCTCATAAATATCTTTATGCTGTCATTCACTCAGGTTTACAACTATAATGACAAGTTATAATGAAATATGTAACCTCATATGGAATCTTAAGAACTTTTTAAAAAAATGACAGCATATAAAACCACTTGCTCAAAATAAACTTTGTATGACCATGTATCTGCATTCATGTTAACCATAAAGCACACCATACTGATGTAAATCATCCCTTAGTAAGAAGTTTATTATCCCACCATGTTATATAATCCTAGGAATAAATTTTATGGAATTCAATCTGGCCAGATGTGTATAGAATGACATTGTTATTCTTCATTCAACATAGAATATCAAATGCTGCCGTAAGGTAAAGAGAAGATTTTGATTACATTAGATACTTGGTACTGATAGTTGTAAAATCTTTTTTGATGAGAAACTTCTATCTAGAATCAGAGTTTCATTTTAGTGAGGCATACTAGTTTTTATTTATCAAATATCTACACTGTTCATTTCACATAATTAAGTCTGCATGGTTTACAAAGAACATAATGAAACAATATAAAATATGACTAAAAGCAAAATAGTTAAAAACAATTAAATTCAAAGTTAAAATATATAAGTTAAAAGTGAAAATTAAAGTTTAAGTGTTCACAAGACTAAAAAGGTAAACTAGATTGAGGGAGAACCCTCAAGCCACCAACCATTCCCACAGTTGCATAACTATCTTAAATCCTCATGTTAAGTGGCATAGCCAAGAAAACTAGAACAGTGGGGGCTCGCCTTACCTCTGGGCTAAAATGTTCCAGAAGCAGGGGAAACAGCAAAAAAGGCCATCTTCCTAGATCTTGCCAGTCAAAATTCTTTAACTGACAGGATTCACAGCTTGCCCTCTCTGTTTAACCAGGTATAATGGGTTCATGTAATTGTGACAAGAAGGTACCTTGGATACCCTTGTCCCATGCCATGACAGATTTTAAAGGTGATAACCAATATTTTAAATTGGACCCAGAAGCCAACTGCTCACACCACTACATTCTGCACCAGTTACAGCTTCCAGGTAGTCTTCAAGGGTAGCCTCATGTAGAGCACATTGCAGCAGTCCATCTGGAAAATGATCAGGGCATGAGTGATTGAAGGGCTTCTCAATCCAGGAAAGGGAATTAACTGGGTACATACCCAAACTTTAGCAAAGGCTTGAGTGCTATCTACGAAGGAATCAAATACTTCCCTATCATTTATAATTAAGTTGGATAATTTTCATATTATTATTGCATCTGATAGAATCAGCATTATTGTATTACTATGAGAATTCTTCTGATTCCCCAAATTGATTAACTGAATATAGTTAGAAAATCACCATAATATAAACAAGAGAATGTTATTTTTATGTACATTAGTCTACTATGAAAGGTTACATATCAGGATAATTGACAAAGATACACTGAAAACAAATAGTAGATAACCTTTAGAATGTAACAAATTAATAAAGGATTTTTTAGATGTTGTAACACTGCATTTGTTTTTTAAAGGTTAATGCATTTTAATCCATAATATCAAATATTCACAATTGACCTGAAAGTTGTCATTTTTCTCAAAATGCAAAATAATTTATAAAATAACATTTATATTTTTAGTCTTGTTTCTTGTTTAGTTTAGTTTAGTTTACTTTATTGTCATTGCACCTCGTACAACAAAATCAAACACTATCGTCAGTACACATCATGATCATGACCATGAAAATAAACACAAACACACATTAAACTGAAAACCCCTGACACTGCACCAATACTGCAGTATACAGCAGAATTCAAAAGAGTTACTGCCCTGCGATAGAAACTGTTTTTCATCCTATTTGTCCTATTTCATCCTATTTTGTACCATCTGCCAGATGGTAATAGGTTCGTTTGATGTAAATACGGAGGGCCCTCCTAACGTCCAGGGTGTGCCATTTTCTTTCCAGTGCATGATTAGGCTCTGGACAAAAGTCAGGCAAAATCAACTCCTCTGAACGATGGAATAAGGAGTTCACCTTGGGCAAAAAGAGACTCTGAATTGTAATAAATCTCACTAATATAATTTTTTCAAGGAAAATATTCTGTTTTCCTTCTTTGATGCGAGTACTAAAAGGGGATAAAAATAGTGATTTAACTATTATAATGTTCACTTTGAAAATTACTTAATGGTAAGTAATAAGTAATTTTATAAGATCTTACCCAATACAACGTATGTAGAAAAGTTTTAAAGAGTATATATTTCAGTAGCAATTGTACAAGAAGTGACTGAAGTTGAAATAAATTGTGAATGTGCCTATACAGTGACTATACAGTAAAGGTTTCAACAAACACTTATCAAAGTGAAATCAGGATGAAAGTGAGATTTTTACCAACTGTAAAAGCTTTGTGTCAGCAATGACTAATAAAATATGCAAGTGTAGCTTTAGCTTTATAACAGTCTGAAATAAAAAACTGCCCTAATAGAAATATTTATATGCAAATTTTACATGGTAGGTATGATTAGTAGAAAGGAACATGTACTTAACTCTAAAATGTCTGTTAGAATTAAGGCTTTTATTTAAACCTATAATTTTCCCTACTGTAACAATCATCTACTCCTATATCATTTGTTTGCAGCAGAGTTTCACACTGAGAATTGGCATGGGACTAGGTGCAGACTAAGTAAGAAACAGAGTTTTATGTGCACACATGGATCAATAAATCCTCCATATTCTTACCATTCATTCAAAACAATATCAGAATACCATCTAATGACTAATCCAGCTTTGACTCATGCTTTGGAATAATAGCTTCAATTGAATATGTTCATACCCACCAATGTCATATATGTTGAACAATTTGAGTGCAATCCAAATAACATCTATAATCTGCAAATTTGCACACCGTATGGCTGTTCTTATGGAATAGGATAAACGTAGGCCAATGATCTTGATTTTTTTATTAAAAAATCAGGATCGTGATATTGGAGTGGTTTGATACTAGAATCTTGAACTGAAAAATAGCTGTCAGATGTTTAGAATTAAAGTGGAAAAATAAATCATTGATAGAGCAATATAGTGCAAAATATTCTGTAACCATCTATGTATTAAAAGTGTATCTTTAAAGAGTATATTAAAGGCAAAAAACCAAAACTATTTTGAATGAAGCACTCAAGCATAAGTTCAAAAAGCTAATATTAAAAAAAGAACAGAAAGAAGAATATTTAATATATGGTTCAACACTATTTTATATATACAATATTGAGAGAGAGAAAATCCCTTTTTATGTTGTTTTTTACATGACCACTGGATTTATTCATTTATATTAAGAGGCCAAAAAAATAGTGTACAAGAAAATGCAAGTTATAGAAGTCAATTGATGCTAATGCTATGATAGCTCTTTATAAAAAAAAACATAGAATAAAATAATTAGAATAAAAATTATTTAGATAGTTATATAGTCCTTTAACCAGGACAACAATCAATCCAAGAGCTTCTAATAGCAATTGCAATCAAGCAAAATGTTACATCTGTGTAAATTTCAGTGAAGTCACAAGGAAAAATGGGGGTGGTTATGAACTCTGCATAAGAAGTACAATCGAATGAGTAAAAGGAACTCCTTTTGTTCTCTAGCCATGCTATCTTTAGCTCATAAGGAAGATGCAGCCCTGCCTCTTTGGATCTTCCCACTGCAAGTTACTAGGCTGGCTTAGGGATTCTGAAGATCTGAAAGTTGATTTATAATTAATCAAACAATATATTAATATTTCAGATTAATGATACAAAGACACCAAGTACTAAGCAACTGATAAAGAGGTAATATGCAAAGCAACAGTTTATCTAATGTAATGTGCTAAATTCCTACATTGCTATTTCTTAATACTGGTAGTAATGTAGGCATTTTGTACATTGTAATAGATACACTATTATTAAACAATTTTTAAAAGTCAGATATTCTTTTGATTTTATTGGGATGAATTTAAATTTCCTTCAAATGTCCAACTTGAGACCTCCAATGGGTCATGTCATGTTTAAGTTAACTAACTGGGTATCTATTTTTTGTTCATTTAATCATAACATTTGATGTTGAAAATGTGAATATTTGAATTAGATAACCAAATGTATGTATACTATGTGTATTCATGAGTTTATAGCCTAAGAGTGCTCAGATGGCTTTAACAAGCTCAGGAGTGATTGATTGACTGATTTAGTATTAAAGCAAAGGGAAGTACATATAACTATAGTAAAGCCTGCAAAGTAATTTCAAAGTAACATAAGGAATGAGACCATTGTTCCCTGCAACCTTCTGGTATTATTTATTTATTCCAACAAGAGGATGCAATAAAATAAGAAAAAGGCAAGCAGGAGTTATTTTATATGTCAATATATACAAAAGTTCGGCAAAACACTGAAACTTTCTTCTATGATTTTTCTGTCGTGGATCAGACCAGACCAAGGGGAAATACTTAGTGACTCAGCAGTTGTTTATGGATATCAACCCTGCAGTGACATTTTATTTATGTTTAAAAATTACATAGGCTGAAAGCAAAGAATATCAATTTGAAGAGAACTGTAAGAATATGAGGTGCCAATATTCCACATATTAGATTTGTAAATGCCATAACATATTTATTCAAAAATATGAGAAATGTCTGACTATATGATGTCATAAATATTGGTCAGTAAAGTAACAGCACTGCTGTCTCTTGAGATGAGTTGAGATAAATAGCTTCTGCAGCATTAGAAAAATATTTACTGTAGCAAACTAGAAAAGATAATTTGAAAGATTTTGCAAAATCATCTGTAGTACTCTCTAGTTTGGATGTATTTAATGAGGTATCTGTAAGACAGATTTTTTTTGAGGCATTGATATGTTGTTGAATGCTAAGACTGTCTGCAATAAGACCACATCCATTCATAACTGCAGCTTTAGGCTAGTCCAGTCATGGTTCCAAAAAGCATGATCATGTACTGGGAATGGTTTGAGCATGGAACTCTTGAGAAAGTAATCATTCAAACTGGTACTGTTAACCCGGCTACCTGTTTGTTAGATTCATATTCCTCCTGGTTTGTGAAGGCTATTGAGAAACTAACATGCAACTCAGCCCATGCAATGGTGCTGGTCTCTCCCAGTTCTGAGGATCCAACTGTTCTGAGCAACTTTCACCCAATACTCCTTTTTTTAAAAAAGGATAATTGTTGAGAAGATGGTTTGGTTGCAGTTTGGAAGAAATGGATTATCTGGATTCTTTTCAGTTAGGTTTCAACTCTGGACACAATACAGAGATGATTATGATGGACCTGAGATTGGGTCAAGCAGGGCCTGGCTCCTTAACCTTTCAGTAGTGTGATTGTAGATAATCTGGTGTGTTTCATGAAGAAGAAAAGCATTGACAAAAGCTTGAAGGCCATTGGAGGACATTCTTCAAAAGTTAATACTGGCTATGAAGGTGTTGCCATGCACTGGGTAGAGGTCAAGCCAGAGCATCCACTTGCTGGAACTGATTGACTGGTCTGAAGGTGTATATAAGCCACCTTTGACATGCAATAAAGCGGAAATGAAGTTCATTGACAAACCAATGCAAGTACCACAGTGGCCTGTCATGCCCAATCAATAGAGAGATGTGTGAAACAGGTCACAGAGGCAGCACGCAGAGTGTATACACATGAGAAACATGAGCGTTATATCAGAGGCTAAGAAGCAAGTCGGCAGCAGATGTCAAAGAATGAATCAAAACAAGACTTGATGAAACTCACTTAAATATTTTTGTAACTCAGATAATTGCTTTCCGATGTTAGTTTATGATTGTATGGATTATTTTTTGCTTAGCTAGATAAGATTCATGCAAAAAAAAAAAATTTGTAGCACAGGATGTAATTTTGAGAAGATAAAAGTATTTGCAGGGTATATGATCAGATGTGGATTTACCATACCAAGCTAAATGTTGTACAATTGTAAAAATAACAGCAGATTTGAACTCTTGGTGTAAAAACACATTTTTATTACCCCTCACTGGAAAAAAAAATGTAAAAATTAATTTTCACCCCATTAAATGACACACCCTAACGCTGTTATATATCTTAGTCCCTGCCTGACTAAATTATGCTCCCAAGGTCTTGTCCCAAAGCCTGAACATTATAAAAGTGTGGGTAGGGATGAACAGACTCTGGCTCAACCCTAGCAAGACCAAGTGGCTGGGGATCAACAAGTTTTGGCCCTTAACAAAGTGCCCATTTTGGATCAAGAAGCATTTATCATTGTCACTCATGATTTGTTCATCTTGTGTTTGGACAATTTATATATGGTGCTGCCCTTAAAGATCATATGGAAGCTATAGTAGATAGTTGAATGTGGCAACTCAAGCAGGGAAAGATTCACTATGCA